CCGCCGAGGCCCACGGCGAGCCTCTGTCTTTCCTAGCCAGTCCCTGCCGCTACACCCACCCTGCTCTTCGAGAGCCGGCTGGCTGCAGCGGACCTCCTCCAGGGCCTTCGCTAACTACTCGAATGTGTGCAGCTGTCTGCGCCGGGCCCTGGAGACATTTATCATCCGTTCCAGGAATGCGACATCTGCTAAACACTGCCTTTGTGCAGTGGGAGGAATACGGATGTAGGAAGCCTGAGCATGAGGCGTCCGTCCTGCTGCTTGCTGGCTGTCCCCCGGACGAGGCGACACCAGTCCACGCAGCTCATCTCTAATGTGGGGGTGACAGCCCACGTGTCACCTTTCCCACAGAGGAACGAGGTGACACGAGATGCCGGCGTGTGTCCCCCGTCTCTCTAGACACGGGCAATGCTGACAGTTAAGACCTGGCACTGGGCCTGGCGCGGTGGCTCACGCCTGTCATCCCAGCACTCTGGGAGGCCAAGGCGGGAGGATCGCTCGAGGTCAGGAGTTCGAAACCAGCCTGAGCAATCGAGAGACCCTGTCTCTACTACAAAAACAGAAAGAAATTAATTGGCCAACTAAAAATCTATATAGAAAAAATTAGCCGGGCATGGTGGCGCATGCCTGTAGTCCCAGCTACTCAGGAGGCTGAAGCAGGAGGATTGCTTGAGCCCAGGAGTTTGAGGTTGCTGTGAGCTAGGCTGACGCCACGGCACTCACTCTAGCCTGGGCGACAAAGCGAGACTCTGTCTCAAAAAAATAGATAAATAACTAAATAACAGGAGGAGACACAGGCGAAGGCCCAACGGGAGAGCGGTGTCGGGTTCAGGAAAGCAGGAGCAAAGCAGCTGTGACAGGTGGAGTCGGACAGACCGACGGGGAGGACGGCCCGGTAAGTCGAGTTAAATAAAAGCGAAACCAGGGCAAAGGTCTTGCAAGAACCGGTGCAACGGGCAGAGCCCTGGGAAGCCGGCTCCACCCGGCCCCTCCCTGCCGGCCCACGCCTTCCCCGGGACACAGCGCTGCTCTCCGTGGGGCTGTTTCCTCACTTCTCCGGGCAGACGGCCAAAAGCCCGATCACGAGGGCGTGTGATCCTCAGGTGTGACGCATGCCACGGCCAAGGACTTCTGGAAGCTTCCTGTGCTTTGGTTTCACGTGACTGTGTTGAAGGGTTCTGATTCCAGACCTTCACACGGTGGTGGGTTTGGGGACTGACTGACCTTGAGCTTGAACTTTCGTCCAAGCTCCACTCCATGGGACGCGGCGAGCACACGGTGGTCCCGGCCCAGGGGCTCTTCGAGGGCCTGCTCCATCACCGGTGAAAGGTGGCTGTCATCGGCCTCCCAGGTTCCACGTGAGGACAAAGTGACACCATGCACATTGAGGCCTGGTGGTGCCCACCCGGTGGGAAGGAGGCGCTTAACAAACGCCGGCTTCAGTTTCTTCAACGAGCTCTGTCCACACACTGGCCCATCAGACACTGGCGCCGGCCCTGCCTGCTCCAGAGAACCCTCAGCAACGGCGCCGAGCGAGAGATGAGCCCCGCAACCCGCCCCTCTCTGGACTCCCAGGTGGAATCAGAACATTTTATGTTTTTCCTTTTTTATTTTGGGACAGAGTCTCACTCTGTTGGCCGGGCTAGAGTGCCGTGACGTCAGCCTAGCTCACAGCAACCTCAATCTCCGGGGCTCAAGCGATCCTCCTGTCTCGGCCTCCCGGGTAGCTGGGACTACAGGCATGCGCCGCCATGCCCGGCTCATTTTTCTTTGTATATATATTTTTAGTTGTCCAATTATTTCTATGTATAGTAGAGATGGGGTCTCGCTCTTGCTCAGGCTGGTTTTGAATTCCTGACCTCGAGCGATCCTCCTGCCTCGGCCCCCCAGAGTGTTGGGATTACAGGCGTGAGCCACCGCGCCCGGCCACGACCTACCCCTTTAGTGAGCGCTAAGCTGCCTCGGAGTCCCCCCATTTTCCGTCTGGGGTGGGTACGGAAAATTCTATGTCTAGCAAGCTCCCAGATGCCGCTGCCGCTCCTCTCAGACCACACTGGGAACAGCTCATGTCTGCGTCCCGTCCTCCCGCACCAGCCCCTCCGCTGCTGAGATGACAATCGCTGAAAACATCCCCAAACCACAACTGGGATGATCTTAAAACGATGACCTGACGTCAGAGGATGGTGGACTCCGCCTAGTACATGTCCGTAGACCTGGCATTTGACACTTTTTTTTTTTTTGAGACAGAGTCTCCTTTGTTGCCCAGGCTAGAGTGAATGCCGTGGCGTCAGCCTAGCTCACAGCAACCTCAAACTCCTGGGTCAGCGATCCTCCTGCCTCAGCCTCCGAGTAGCTGGGCACAGGCATGCACCACCATGCCCGGCTAATTTTTTCTATATATATTAGTTGGCCAATTAATTTCTTTCTGTTCATAGTAGAGACGTGGGTCTCACTCTTGCTCAGGCTGGTCTCGAACTCCTGACCTTGAGCGATCCTCCCGCCTCGGCCTCCCAGAGTGCTAGGATGACAGGTGTGAGCCATCACGCCCGGCCTGGACACTTTTGCCCTTGAGCGGTTTCAGGGTGCTGACGGCTGGCAGAGGGGTCTACACGGCATCACCCAGAGAATCCACCGCCGGGCCAGGCGGAGTCCACCATCCTCTGACGTCAGGTCATCGTTTTAAGATCATCCCAGTTGTGGTTTGGGGATGTTTTCAGCGATTGTCATCTCAGCAGCGGAGGGGCTGGTGCGGGAGGACGGGACGCAGAC